GCGGATAGTTGGGGCGGTCAACACGTCTGTGGCCAACGTTCGTGGCGGCTCCCCGGCCGCCCCCAGCAGGCGGGCGGACCCTCCCTGCCCGCCGACCGCCCTGACCCGGAGTGAGCGGCCCGGGCACCCCGGCCCATCGCCCCGCACCTCGGCGGGGGCGGCAGCCCACGCACCGCCCCCGGGCCCCCACCCAGCCCTCCGGGACCGCGGCTCCCCGCCCGCCCAGACGGCTCCCGCCGGCGGCGGCCATCACCGTGCCAACACGCCCGGCGGGCCGAGCCGCCCTGGACTTTGAGACCGGCCGGGGACACCGCCCGCCGCGCTCCTCTCCTGCCCTCACGGACACCGGACCGGACCCCACCCGCCTTCCCCACCGCCAGCGGGACTCTCCGCCTCTTACCGGAGCGGCCGGGAGGACGCAGGGTGCGCGGAATCCGGAGCTAAGCCTGGGCACGGCTCACACCGATGGCGAATCCCAGCCTCCAGGGACAGCGGCCCTGCCGGGCGGGCGGGCAGCGCTCCCCCGCCCGAGATGCGGCGGTGTAGAAGGCCGCCGTGGCGGAGAAGGCCGCGGAGAAGACTCCGCCGCTACCTCACACGGACAGGCAGACGCCCACCGGCCGCGGCGACACCGGCCTGCGGTACGCGCCCCGCACAAAGATGGCGGCGCGGAGCGTCTCCGCTGGCTCACGTGAGCACTGCCCCGCACAAAGATGGCGGCGCCAGGCTCCCACCCCACCTTGCCCGGCCGCCCGCCGAAGGAGGTTGCCCTGTGTAAAGATGGCCGACCCGGACTCCTAACGGAGCGGGTCACCCTCACGTGGCGGCGGCGGGGGCTGCCTCCCCCGTGGCTCGGCAGGTAATTGAGGTTGGTCAAACGCAGGGCCGCCGTGCAGCGGGACCCGGCCCAGGCTCAGCGAGCGGCGCGGCTGCGGGAACGGGGACCTGAGGGGCGCGCGGAGCCGGGACCCCGCCTCTGTCCGTCGCCCGCCCGAGGCGCCGCAAAGGCTCCGACCGCCGCGGCGGGGCTGCCCGGCCTGGGGAGGGCTCAGCAGGGCTGGGGGGAGGTGGGTTCTGCCCCCGAGGGGGACACGGTTCGCTGCCGTGCCGAGGCTGGCCGGGCCCCGCTCGGTGTCCCGCGGCGGGGGACGTTCCTGCCCTGGGGAAGCGCCTGTGTCCGGAGGGGAAGGAGCCGGTGGTTAAAGCTGAGCGCTGCCTCGGCCCGCGGGACCGCCCTTTTCTTGCGCCTCTGGCGGCCCTGGGTGTCACGCGTCAGGGGCTGCGCCTGGTGCTTGGCATCAGGGAGTGAGGGGGGCGTTCCTCCTCACGGGGGAGGTTACCTCAGGTGACTGTATTTATCCCTCATCACCTGTCGGCAGCAAAATTGAAGCTCTGAACGAGCTAAACTTTTTCCCTCCAATCTTTTAACTCTTTCAGCTTCCAATAGCCAAATGTTCTTCCCATAATAGCGATCTTAGAAACAGGGTTGTTGCCGTGCCCGGTGTAGAGGATCCCATAAGCGGGCTGCCTGCTGACAGGAACAGGCCGAGTTGGCTGTGGGTCCTGGTCACGCAGACCCCGGTCTCTGCGCCGAGCAGCTGGAAGGAGTGAGGCCTAAGCTGAGCCAGCAAATTTGTTCTCGTTAAGCACGAGTCTTATCTCTGTTCAGAAACATCAATCAAACAAGTCATGTACCTGTTATGTAAGGGATTCGAGCTTGCAGAAGAAAGCTGTCCCAGGCTCTTACTGCATAATTTAGTATGTACCCTTTGTTTGACAGAGTATTCCAGAGACCCATCTGTGACTGTTTTTAAGATAGTTCCACTGAATGAGGTTATGGGAGAGAAGGAGCCATGTCAGAAGAAGCTGTTACTGAGACACGATTTTCTCTGAAGACGGTAGCTTTACGGGTATTTCATCTTCCCCTCTCTTGGTATTATTCTCTTAACCAGGTAATATATACATTATCTAAATATTGTCACTCAGTATACCTTTAAAAGTTTAATTGCAATGTTGTACTCTCTCTTCTGAGCTTAATGTGAGTTACATTTGTACAGAATACCTTGATTTTTAGTTAATTTAGAACACTGAGCTAAAATAAGTGGGTTTTGTTGTCCTTTTCTGCTAATAAACAGTGCATCGTTGTTTGTCTGACTGAAGAGGTTGCTTTATCTGCAATATCTGTATGTCTTCATTTTGCAACACTGCTATAATTCTCATCAAATCAAATATAAAAATCTTCAAATTGTTTTTTTGTAGATTTTTTTTATTTTAGTTATTTAAAAACTAAGCACAACTGTCATTAAATTTGGAATAATACTATTGAGTGTGGTCTGAAGTACTTTCTAGATAGCCAGTACCACTCACCAAATCAATCTGAATAGTAATTCACTAATTTGAATCAAAAATCCTTATTCTAGTTTTCGTGTCACTTCTGTTTAATTAAATAAGTGGCACATGATTGAAACAAGACAGTGATTCTTTAAGAGCAAGCTGTGTTTTAAACCCCTTCAATTCTTTTTGCAGGTTTTGTTTGTTTGTTTTACTTACAGAAAGACCTTTAGAGAAAATCCAAGGCTCTATTAATCACAGTATTTCCTTTTACAGATGGCCCTGGAGTGATTTATTTTTATTTTCTTTCACTGATGTTATAGGCTTTTTTTCACTAGCAACATGGATAGCAGTCACTCAAATCTGGGCAAAGAGTACGTTATGATCTTAGTTTTCGGGCTGACAAAAGCTGGAAGTATTCTGAAGTTGATACTCCTTGTCTGCAGGGGTTCATAAGATTTGTCCTTAGAGCACCTTCATGTTAAAGACCGGGGGGAGAAGCTGTAATTGGGTTGTAGAGATTCAGAGAAGAGAGGTGTTAGTTGCCTATAATTACATATGTGATAAATGGTAGAGTGAAATAAGTCAGAATTACTTGAGAAAATATTAAGGTTTCAGTTGTATCCTTCAGAGAATAATTTTCTTGAAGAGTGAGCCATATTCTGGTGCCATAACACACAGGAGGAAAAAAAAAAGAATTTTTAGTTGGCTGTACAAAATATGTCCAGATGATTTTTTCCATTCTGCATATGCTGAATCATTGATAATGAAAAGAAAAAAAAGTATAAACTTTTATTAGGAATGCCAATATTTGTTTTAAATAGATATTAGCACATCCTAATAAAGTTCTGGTTTTAAAACTCATGTCTTGAATATGACTGTATTTTATTTTTATGGAATTAAATGCTCGTAAGTAAAAGCTATGTAATTTTTCATGTTTGCATGTAAATGCTTTTCAAAGTTTTATTACATATAAGGCTGGAATGGGATATTCTCAGTCATGGCTGCATCTGATTATTTTCACAGTTTTTCTGTATTTAAAGTACTTTAAAATTCTCACTGCAAGATCACTGATTTCTTTTGTACGTTGCAGTGTATTCGTATCCTTTTTAAATACTACCTGCAACTCCATTATGTGCAACTACCAGCTTTCCTCTCCTTAGAAGCTTTCATTTCACTGTTTATTTATAATGATGTGTGTAGGCACAGACAAATTTTAAAAAATCCACCTATGTTTCTTTGAAACTTAAGTTCTAACATTTAATTCTGTGAGCTTCGAGGTTTTAATCTCAGTTATTTGGTTATTTATTCTTTCTGTGAAATACAGTAGTACTTTGTAAGTAAGTGTTTTGTGCTGTGTTTCAGGGATTTCCTTTTCCATGAAGAGTACAGCGTTAGGTTTTCGGCCTCGGGCAAGGCACAGTACCACTAAGGACAGGGTTCTCAAGTCAAAGGTGTTTGGCTTGATTGCAAACTCAACACAAAGCAAAGCTTTTAATGCTTCTTTAGATTACACAACTCTGATGGCATTAACTAAGTGCACAGCAACCAGGGACTGCCAGAGTAAGTGGTACCCTGTGTGGCCGGCTCTGCCTCGTATGAGGAAACATGTTACAAAAACACCATATTAGCCCCAAGGACTGCAGATTTGTTTTTCTCCCAGCAGTCTGTCTCTCCAGCAGCATAGATTTCCTTAAGATTTTGTGTATGTGGACTCTATTTTCCAATTAAATGCCTCTTTTTTTCAATGTATATCTTGGTCACTTTGAATTTTATAAACTTTGTTAATGGCTTTTAATTTCAGTTGCTTGTGTATGTGGTTCTCATTCGCCAATTTAAATGTCTGCAAACCTATGACTGATATAGCCAAAGTAAAATGTAACAGTTAAAAAAAAAGATGGTTTATTTAGAGAAATACATTTAAATACGTGTTCTTCACAAATTGAAGCACCATGCAAATGTTAGCTTTTGGATCTTCTGCTCTTTCACAGTGCAAGAAGATAGTCTAGTTATGAAAGGTGAGTTTCTTCTGAGTATTTTGCTGTTAGAGAATTAGTTGAAGCCCTACATTGTCCTGGCATTAAAAATAAATAAATAAAAAGAAGTTTGTCTGAAAGTTCTTCACTTGGATCCCCACAGTTTGTGGATTTACAATACACCTTGTAGTTCTTGGTGCTGCAATATGTGTCTCAGGTGCAGCCTCTTGGTTTGTCGCCCCAGACTCTTTGGAAACTCTCACCTAGTGGCCATCACAAATTTTGGGAAGCAGTCTATTTCCTTTCTTGGAGTTGGTTGTTTCTCAGGCTGAGAGGGCCGTGTCTCTTGTCTCCCTCAGAAGAGCTATAGCCTGGGTTGAACCCACCAAAAGGAGGGTAGGAGGAAAGGTGGGAGCTAAGGAAAGTATATTTCCAATGAAGTCACACTCTCTTATTTTCAGGTAAGGCTTTCTCCTGGGTTAAAGAAGCTTTTCACGGTAACAGCAGTGAGTGCAATATCTGTGATTTTTCTGGCCCATCACTTCAAAAGAAGACGTGGAAAGAAAAACAAGAAAGTGCCACCATGGGAACCAAATCATCTAGTATTAGAGTGTACCAAAGCAGCTGCCTCAGAAAAAGGTACGTGAAGGAATCCCCAGGGATTTTTTGTTTTGTTTTCTTGGAGGGAAGGAAAAGGGGTGTGAGGGGATGGGTGTGCATAACAGTGTGTAGTAGTAAAACAAACTAATGCTGAGTATTGAATTCTTAAAGCAGAAATTGTGCAAATTAGGAATAAAATTACAATGTTTTATAAATAAAGCGGTCTTCTTCTTGAAGGTGAAGTGTTAGTCATTAATGTAGATTAAAACTTCTTTTATCAGAAGAGGATTTGCAGTTCTTGTGGATGTATCTCAATACTGAGAAAAGCAGATTTAATTTTTTACAGGATGTGAAAATAATTATGCTCAAATGCATGGTTATTATAGATATTGACTATTCTGATTTGTAGTTTCTTGTGTAGAACTGTAAATGAAATAATAATTGTTGTTTGCTTCTAAACTGGATTTTATTGAAAAAAGTAAATGCAATTATTGATAGATCTTGCTAACAAAAGATACAGTGTTTTGAGTTTGCAGCACCTTTAAAATCAGTGTATCTCTTAGGTTCTAGTTGTTCCAGTAGTCGGCAAAACTTGACTCTTTCTCTGAGCTCTGCTAAGGAAAAAGGATCTCAGTCTTGTATCTATGCAAATGGAGGACTTTTCAGTAAATACTCTGGTTCCGTTCAAAGTCTGGCCTCGGTAAGTAAAAGTGTTTTAACTTGCACTGAATATGCACCTTATGGTTTCACAGATCTGTAACAGCTTTCCTGAGCAAGCTGCACAGAAGGCTAGAGAAGGCCATTGTACCTACTACATAGTAAAAAAGCTTAGGCAGATAGCACGGATGTAATATACTCTGCCAGGAATGTGGTTTTAAGGATACTTTGTATAGCAACACTTCAGAATTTGTTTATTTTTTTTAAGGTTCAGAGTGCCACCTCTTGTCACAGTTGTGCTTGTGCCAATTCTAATTCCTGGGATAAAGCAGATGAAGATGATATTAAGCTTGTCAATATTCCAGTGACCACACCTGAAAACTTATATTTGATGGGTAAGTTATAATAAGAAGATTCAGCATCTACCAACAATGAATGTAAATAATTTCATGTTTTCATGGCAGTGGCACTCACACAGTATTATTGTGGCGTTCTTTCACAGTGTCCAGTTGGCATGTGTCTAAGAATGTTTCCATAAAATAATGAAATCTTATTTGATCTAGTGTTAATTTTTCAAAATACTTTTTTTTTTATTCCTACATTTGAAATAGTAATCCATAAAATTATTTTTAAAAGTGAATAGGAAAAAATACATTGAACATTGTGATCATATTGTGAACTTCTTTATCTTATTAAAAAGACAGCTATCTTTTCAGACTGGGAATTGCCGTTGTAAAAACTTGTGTCTCTGCTACAATCATACTCATTAGCTAAATAGTTTCCCATGACTCTAAACTGTGAATACATATGGAAGCTGTGTGTTTGATGAGATGGAGGTAATCCTCATCCCCCCCTAGGTATGGAGCTTTTCGAAGAAGCGCTGCGTCGATGGGAGCAGGCATTAACTTTCCGTAACAGGCAAGTTGAAGATGAAGCAAGTTGTGGTTCCATTAAGCTGGGAGCAGGAGATGCGATTGCAGAAGAAAGTGTAGAAGTGAGTATATTAAATTTATGATCTACTGCCTGGAGGAGGCAGGGCGGGGGAGGGAATTAGCCTTATTTATTTTTTGGCAATTGATGTTGCATCAGTGTCTGCTTCTGGATGGTATTATCAAGCTACAAAGCATACTAATACTCTGCCCAGAATCCCTTGGGTCATCCTTTTCTTTTATGACTATGTGAGAAGATACCTGTTTAGCAAAGATAAAGGTCTTGGGAAAGATGATCAATTTATGAGTATTCACAAATAATGTGCCTAAACTTTATTTCTATTCCTTTGTTCTTATGAACTAAATGCTAAAAATATTTTTAAATAAAAACACACCTGTGTGGCTTTATTTCTAGTACAGTAAATATCACAAATAAAGTATTTTAAAATTTGGATTTTATTTTTATTACACTAAATAAAATACGTGTATATTTTGGATGTTGAAGTACTAGTCTGACAGTGTCTTTGTGTGGTTTTTAGGAAATGAATGTGGTACAGTTTGCTCTTTGAAGGCTTAATATTCTTAGATTTTACAAAGGAATATTACAGACTGTTAACAAATAGAAAATCTTCTAATGTCTATCTTCTTACAGGATATCATTAGTGCTGAATTCATTCATAAGCTTGAATCCCTTCTTCAAAGAGCTTACCGTCTTCAGGAGGAGTTTGAAGCCACCCTTGGGGCCTCTGATCCTGCTTCTCTAGCTAATGATATTGGTGAGTACTCCTACGTTTTTATTGCTTGTAATAATGCCTTGGAGGCAGGGAGAAGTCACTGAAATATCGACTGAGCAGAATTATATGTATCAGTGAATAAACAGAAAAAAAAATCACATACTTTACAGTATTATGTACTATTTGATGTAGTGTTTGTATTTGAGATGAGAATGGACCCAGGAAATTTTTTTTCTTTGTGGCTTGTCAGTATACTTGAGAATTTTCACAATATTTCTCGAGTTTCTAAAGTTTAGTTTGGCTTGGGTATTTAAATACTTATGCAGTAAGAATATATGACCCTTTTTATAGCATGGGTGTATTATTCAATTGAGTGTTTTGAAAGAAGTTTCATATGTGTCTTTTGAACTGTCAAACTGTATATGCATGTACTTTGCTTTTTTTGGTTTGTCACAATATTTTACAAAATCAAAAACCAAACAAGAAAGATTTAGTATGAAACAGATATCCAGTACCAAAGCTCTTATTCCTGGTGATTGAAATTTATGACAGTTATGAGTGAAAAACCCCAGGATTTTAAAATAGCAAATATAATGAGTAGTTGCTGCTAGACATGCTGATTAAGTACAGATAGTCTGATAATTTTTGTTTAAATAATTGGTTTAGGATGTTCTTAAAGACTGATACTATTATACTCTTTCATAATTCACGATCAAACATCTGATCTCAAGTAACTGTCAGACTTTAAAGGCAGAACATGTTCTGGGATTAGTTGGAGTCAGTAGTCTTGCTTGTTAGGCTTCAGCTTGACTGGCACGAGGTGGCAGTGCTCTCATCTCTTAGCACTCCTGTCATCCTGCAACTACTAAATACAGCTCTGAGTAAGGCTGGGAATTAAATTTAGGTCAGAGTTGGCTTTCTGACATGTCAGCGTACACCTGCTAATCTAATTCTTCAAGCAAAAAAATGTTTGAATGTTTTATTTTTGTGTTGCATTGTCTATACATTATTAAATTAGAAGTTTGCTTGTAATTTCTGTCTTCAGGCAAAAGTAACATAATGGTATTCAAAGGACTCAATTTGATGTTCAATGTGTTTAGCTATTGTTTTGCTTGGTTACCCTGGAAGTATTTTATATTGATATTTTATGGTGGTTTTTTTTAAATGTGATAACTGGATTCTTGTTTACCAAGAATGTTCTGAAAATTTAATTCATTTCAAATGTTCTTTGTAGAAATAATTTGTGATCTCTTGAGTAGATGTCTGTTACTTTATTATGGATTTTATCTGTACTGGCCCAGATGAGTGAGGAAAACAAGTAATGAACTGGTTCAGTGAGTAGTATTTTTCACTGGTCAGGATTTGGGGCTTTTTCATTATCTTGAACTTGTGGCTTGAACAGCAGGTAATATATTAAAAAACGCGTCATTTTTTGAGAATGTTTTAGAACACAAACAGAATAACGTCATCTACTTCCAAGCACCACAGTGCTTGGAATATTTAATATAGAGGATGTTTTTGTTCAATATTCAATGTGAAAACATTTCATCAATCAACATTTCTTAGATAATTTACTTTTCTTCAGGATGTGACACTGAGTGTAGTATATGGACATTTGAAGTAGGATGTTTTTGAGATTGTCTTTCCTAGGAAAGTTACCAAAAAATTGTCATAAAAGTGTGTTTGGGGGAACCCTAAAGGCTCTCTTATGGGTTTATTTCCCCTCTTCCACCCCCTTTTTTAATTTATTTGGCAGTCTAGTGAAAGAAAATGAATGCTGCTGTCAACAGACTTTCTTTACTACCCCAAAATATACATGTTAACATGTAATACTTATTTTTTCCCCCTTCTATTCACAGCTTTGTATTGCTCTTTTAGGAATTAGGCTGGAATGAACGTTGTTCGCTTTTTTCTTTTTGCGTGTGTGCGCACATGTGCATTTATTAACAACAGGAACAGAAGGGTTCAAGAGCTGCAAGAATAAGGAAGTCCAAGAAAATTATGAAATCCCAATGGTGTAAAAAAATAACATAGTACAGTATTCTTTACTAAGAATAAAAATAAAATCCTACTGCAAAGTACAAATGACAGTTCTGAACAGAAACAGAAATGTAGGAATCTGTAGGAAGGTATATCATTTGTGGCAAAAGAGGCAGCATCTGCTCAGTCAGATTCCGTAGTCCTGGGCGATTTATACCCAAAACTTCTTAAAGAAGCTAGATGAAGAAAGCATCCTCATCCATTATTTACTATTTATTGATCTTGTAAAGTGGAAAATGTTCCAAATGTTTGGGAAATCACCAATTTAGTTCCAAATCTTAAAAAAAAGAAACAAACAACCCAAAAAACTACAACACCCAAGTTAAGCATCATGCCTGTGAAAGAAGAGTTGCTAATTTGCAGTTCTGTTAGTGCAGACAACAGAATAAAAGGTGAAATTAGTGCCATTTGATATGGTTTCATGGTAGGTAATTTTTCTTGGACTGTAGGTTTTTGAGATATATGCAATTTGGGTGATGGATATAGCATCATATAGATGATAATAATATGAAAATAATATATGATAATAATAATGATAGATGATAATAATGAGTTCGCTGACATGAACATTTCTTTATACTTCTGTCCACTGTTAAGGGAAAGGTTTGCTTTCTAGGGAGGATGTTTGGTCAAACTGCAATTTTATCAACTATGTAGCTGATCGTAAAATCATTTGTAGAGTGGAAGTTGATTAAAAAACCCAATCATTTAGGGCATTAAAAGCATTGAGTTAATGAAAAGGAAAGGTTAGCAGTACTGATCTGAATTATCTGTTTGAATGGTTACAATCTAACAAATCTCATTTGAATTGAGGCAAGTATAGATTGTACATATAGATGAGAGATTTTAAAAGAAAAGTAATAAAGAAACACTCTTAGAATGCATTAGGAAATTTTGCATAGCAGTCAGTGTAAGTTCTGAGCACAGTGCTGTAGAAAAAAGATGACTGCTAACCTTTGGCTATGTGAAAAGGACGGCGTCAGCATAGAGGCAAAGATAAAATCTTGGCTTTTGTAAGGTTTTAGAATACTGTGTCCAGTTCTGTTGTTCATATTTCAGAAGATATGGAAATGCTAGACAGCTCAAAACAAGCCATAAAAATGATCCATGTTTTGGAAAAACAAGCTCATATGTAGTTTGAGTAAGTCCAGCTCCTTACTGAAGAAAATACTGAGAGGTGACTGACTTGTTCTGAATAGCTACTTACGCATGGAGAAGGTATGTGGTGCTGTGGGATTTGTAGACCTTGTTGTCGAAGTCATAACTAGATCCAATTTCTGGCTGTTCAAGTGAAACAAGTTAAATTCTAAAACGAGTTGCCTCTGAAGCTTGTCAAGGATATTTCAGTGTTTTATACAAAGATTATTTCTTTTTTTTAATGCTGTTTTGGGGGATTTCTTTATGCCTCTCTGGATGGAAGAGATGGTCTTGGGGGTAAATGGATGTTGTGGTCTTTCTGGCATTTAAGTGTTTCCCCTTACTACTACTAGTTTTTCTTCTTCTGTGGGCCTTGGAGTGAACAAGAAAAAGCCTTCGTTGTCCTTAATAGTTTCATAGCACTTGTAGCTTGTCGTTAGAATGCTTATAACCAGCTTTTATGCTTCAGGGTTTCAACTGTTGGTAATCAGAAAACATTTTGCTTTGTTTTTTTGCTGATGCTTATAATTGTTGGATATAGTTTGTAGATTTTTCTTTTATTTTCTCCATCTGAAGCACTTGTGATTAGCCACAGCTGGAAACAGGGCTCTGACAGTTGGACAAATGCTATCAAGTGTTATCAAAAGACTTGCTACATAAATGTCTGACTAGCACTTCTTATTCAGAAACCCTGGGTTATAATGAGCTCCAAAATTGGTCAGGAAGGAAACTTACAAACGTAAAAATTTCCATCAGTTTCTGGTTTTCAACTTTGTAAAATCTTTGGTCAAACTTCTGGGGCTCCTGAAACCTCTCTCTCCCCTACTTGTTTGCTAGTCACAGGTGTTGGTCCTTCCCAAAATCTTTAAATGTTACTTTTCCCAGGTTATCGTATCCCCTCTACCTAACCAAATCAAGATCTCAGTGCTGCCACTGATCAGTCATACCACAGGCTTGCTTTTCGTGTTGTGATCCCACTTAGTAGTTGAAGTTGGTTGGCATGATAAACAATTTGCCAGCCAGCTTTGAGAAACAGCCTTTGGAGGAGATTATGGTAGCATCCTACATGGGAGAGCCAGCAACGAGTTCCCTGGGACCCTTGTCACTTGTCTCTGGAACCACTGGCTTTCATGTCTGGCCTGAAGTGCTTCTCTTCTGTCCTCTGTGGCAGGTAAAAGGTGATTTGTCAGAGCAGGCAATCATGGCTTGAAGGGGTTGCATTCTAATTGCCTTTTGTTTGATTCTTGTTGTGTAAATTAGCACCTCCAAATGCTGCTTTTTTTTCCTTAGTTATATGAAAATTATATATTTTCTCTTCCAGATATGTCTAAATATTCAACTTTTAAAAGTGCAGAAGATACAGGTATAAATAAATATATTTTCTCCCTGTCCATAGAATTCTATTAATAGTAAAAATAATAGTAATAATAACAACAGGAATAAAAAGAACTGCAAATAATGTTTGTAAACTCTGCAAGCTATGGTTGAGTTACAAACACCAAATACAGCCCTGAAAAAGACTTGCATTTTAAATAGATTAAATAACGGAACACAATTATGTGCATTGTTGTTGCATTCTCCACTGAACTTTCAGAATTATGATATAAACTAGCTAGCTAAAATAGGATTTCTGTAGCAGAAATGTTTCTGGACATGAAATTAAAACAAAGATGTAGGGCTAAACTGTTGTTGTTCCTATGCTGATCCTCTGAGGACTGTGGAACAGTAGGAGAAGCCTAGAAACCAGGCTTTCCTGAGGCAGGGCATAAGCTGCACTGACTCAGGAAGGAGGCAGTGGGCAGAAAACTGTGAAACAAAATATTCATCTTATTATTTCTGAGTAGTGAATATGAGGGGGTAGAGGG